CAGCTAGCCCCTGTTCACAGGGCACTTCATGAAAGAAAACGAGCATCTCGGGGCTTGGAAGAACTGCCTCAGGAGTTAACAGTCCATTCCGGTCTCCCACCGGGAAACTGTCTCCATTCCGCGGGGCAGCGTACTTCGAAGATCTCTCGATCGCCTCTGGACTGCAAACGGCGCGGGATCGATATGGAAAGCTTTAAGTTCGCAAACGGTAACAGAATCCGGTTCTAAGTTCCGCAGAGCGGACCACACGGCGATCAACCGTGTGCTGTGCACCCCAGGCTGGGTGACCGACTCGCCCTGGGCGCACAGCAGGCCCCACTCAGGGACACAAACCTCCTGCACAAGTTCTGTATCCCAGCGCTGCGTGGATGCTCCGCACCCACACTCACGGCGGGGCACAAACCCCACCGGTCCCCACGAGCCCCCACGACCCGGCCTACCCGCGCTCGGGGCGGGGCGGTGACGCAGGCGCGGCGCCCACCGGGTCTCCTCGACCCCGACCCCAGTCCCCAGCTGTCTGTCTGTCTGTCCGTTCGGCCCTGGGACACTTACCATCCTAGTACCAGGCCGGTGGTCACGATGAAGCAAGTGAAGACCACCGCGATATAGAAAAGCGGCGAGTATTCATAAAGAGTGACCAGAAACACCGCAGCCATCGGGGGGTGGCGGGCTCCTCACGGGCTGAGCCGGGCTCCAAGCCGCTTGGCTCAGCCCAGCCCAACCGAGCTCAGCCCGCCCGGCCTGCCCGGCCTCGGTAAAAGCCGCTACGGCGCCCGGGAGCAGACAAACTTCTCAGCTCTTCACTCGCCGAGGCACCGGTGAACTGGAAGCCGGGACAGGCTCTCCGGCTTGGGGAGCCGGCCTGCCAATCATGACGTCGCCCGCAGGGTTCGCCACGCCCCCATCCCAAGCTATTGGCTGCTCAGGGGGAGGGTAAGACCTCGAACCGCCCCCGGGGCAATCCGGATTGGTGGTTTACCAGGCTCCTCTCCGCCAGTCTGGTCCAAAGGTCACCGTTGTTTTGCAGGCAAATTCTTAAATAGAAATGGGGGGGGGGGGGGGGCAGGGAAGGAGCCGGTACCTCTGGTACAATTTAGGCACATTTAGGCAAATGGTTCCCCAAGGAGAGTTTATACGAGATCCACCTGCAGCAGTTCTAATTCCTGCAACCTCGTATTATTAGATTCTAGGAAAGGGAAGGAGGTCTACCGTCTAGGGTTCTACAAAGTACTCCACAATTGAGAATTAGCTAAAAGTTTTACGTTTAAAGTATATTCATCTCTCTCTCTCTCTCTCTCTCTCTCTCTCTCTCTCTCTCTCTCTCTCTCTCTCTCTCTCTCTCTCTCTCGTTGGTCCTGGGGCTTGAACTCAGGGCCTAGGTGCTGTCCCTGAGCTGCTTTTTTTTTTTTTTTTTTTTTTGCTCAAGTCTAGCACTCTACCACTTGAGCCATAGTGCCATTTCGCTTTTTCTTTTTCTTTTTTATTTGGGGGTTGGGGGGGTCCGGTTGTGGGGCCTGAACTCTGGGCCTGGGCGTTTGTCCCTCATCTCTTCAGCTCATTCTAGCACTCTACCACTTGAGCCACAGCACCACTTCCCGCTTTTTTTCTGCTTCTGTGGTGCTGAGGAATCGAACCTCATGCATGTAAGGCAAGCGCTCTACCACTGAGCCACCTCCCCAACCCCAGTATATTCATTTTTACATAATTTTTTAAATAAGTAATAAAAGAGTTGGGGCGTGGCTCAAATTGTAGAGCACCAGCCACAAGCAAGCAAGCCAAGCACCAGCGAAAAAATTAAAACAGAAGCAGAAGCTTTGAAGTACAGGAAATTATGGAGTCTTTCGCTCAAAGCAGCCTCCCCAGAAGTGTCTCATAAATTTTTCCTTTAGTCCTAAAGCCACACCTACTTACCGAGAAATGGAGCCTGACTCTGAGCAGGAACAAACTCCATGACAAATCAGGATTTTCTTACAGAGGGAGAAGGGAGAACTGGCATTAAGATGGATAACAAGCCTCCACACTCTCAAGTCCCCAGTAAAATTCATGCTTAGGAAAATACGTTTTTCTCTAGGGTCTCTTGCATTTTTCTGGCAAATAATCACGTTTTCTCTGGAGTAGTGTTGAGGAAGGAACTTGCTTCTACAACATAATTGTAATTGTTATATCTCTAATTTGCGAAAAGTAGTTTATTCAGCCTGCTTTCAATTGTTGGGGATTATTTTATTACTATAAAGAACATTGCAATGAATATCCTTAGAATAAATTACTCGGGACTTGGGCTTTTGTTTGCTTGGTGCAGCTATAGGGGCTTGAATTCAAGACCAGAACATTGCCCCTTAGCTTCTTCTGCTCAAGGGTGGTTTTCTACCACTTGAACCACAGGATCCACTTCCCACTTTCTGTTGGTTAATTGGAGATATGAGTCCTGAGCTGGCTAGAATCTCAGTCCATATGACTCAGACAAGGTATTGGGAGTTAGCAGGGTTATCTTAGAATCTCAGAATACCAAGTTGGGCTACCACTATTGCTGAATGTCAGGTCATGACCCAGGTAATATAGAATCAAATTTAGGGAGTCTTCTTCCTTTTCAACATTATCAATGTCCACATTTTGAAATGTTAACAGAGCTTCAAAATGATGGTGCTGGGCTGGGAAGGTGGCTCAGTGGTAGAGCTCTTGCCTTGCACGCATGAGGCCCTGGGTTCAATTCCTCAGCACCACATAAGAAAAAAAGAAAAAGAAAAAAGCCGGAAGTGGCGCTGTGTCTAAAGTGGTAGAGCGCTAGCCTTGAGCTGAAGAGCTGAGGGACAGTACCCAGGCCCAGAGTTCAGGCCCCACGACCAAACCCAAAATGATGGTGCTTCTTAGAATTCAACATCCTATTTTAGAAGTCAAAACCTCGTTGTTCCTTTATTTCTTAATGCTGCCAACTCTTTCTTCACATGACCTTTCTATATCCCACATTATTTCTAAGGAGAGAAAATTTTATCTCAATTTTGGAAATGCCAATTGGTAGGAATTTAAATAAGTGTTATAACTTTGAATTCCAAACTTTGAGGCAATCAATGCATGGTAACACTGAATGCAATATGTATATGCTGCTATAGAGAAGAAAAATTGTGAAAAATCTTATATTACTTGGGCAGAAGCTAACAGCTTGACCAACTGAATTCCCAGGTCTCTCTAGGAAAAGTCTCCTGTGGTCTTAGTGAAGTAAGGAGGTCAGGTCTGGCCAGCGCCATATTGGCCACATGATGGATGGTAGGGTCTGACATCTTGTCTTCATGCTGGGTGAATGACACCCCCCCCTTCCCCCCAATCACTTGCCTTCCAGGTAATGGTTTTGCCCAGACCTCTGGAGGCAGGAGCAGGCACTTGGCTGATAGGTTACTGAATCTGTCAGTCTAGTGCCTGGGACTAGCAATTTCCTGAGGATCTGCCTCCTGCACCGACCTATTTAGGCCGGGACCAACCTACCTGCTGGCCTCCATGCCAGTGTGTCTCCATGATCATGTCCTGTGTCCCGTCTCCTGGCTCATCTCTGTAAGGTCCATTCCTGGACGGCGAACAGACCTCACCCAGTACCTGCGTTACCTAGGCAACTGGGACACCTGGAAGAGGTCACATCCGCATCCGCTGAGGTCACATCTTAACCTGATGTGGCCACACCTTTCTCCCACCTGACCCCACTTCCCTTTACCTGGACACACCCTTCCCCGCCCCCCTACCCTATATAAGGCCTAAACCGCGGCCAGACCGCCCTCTTTTTCCTTTTGCCAGCTGCGTGGAGTGCCAACCTTGCCTGGTCCCAGCAGGTCTACTGAATAAACCTGCCCCTTACCTGAATACCACGTGCGTGGTGCAGTTCTTACTCGGCCACCTCTTTTTAAAACCCTAACAATCTCCAGTCATCTTGAAGTCCCAATTCAGCTCTCCATTGATGCTGAATTGGCTTGTTGGTATTGTTCTTGTTATTTCTTTCCTCTTTAGCATGTTTCCTAGCTGTCTTTTGTGTATTTGCGTGCTACAGGCCTCTGTAACAACTGGAGGCTTGCAGCCTGTTAAATGTAAAATGAAAACTCCAATATTCTATATTTTAAAATGTGGCTTCTGGAATGATTAACTTACAACATTAGAAAATAGGTTTCTGTTGCCTATAAATGTGAAACAGAATAATACTGATCATTAATTAGTCACATTGTTTCTAGTGATTTCACTCTCACCATCTGACAACATCTGGAGATATTTTTGCTTATTGAAACTGGAAAAGTACACCTGACCTCTTGTGGTTAGAGACTGTCAATACTGTTAAATAATAGATTGTACACCTACCCACAACAAAGAATTACCCCACCACAGATGTCAGTATTGCTGTAGTTGAGAATTCTATTACCCCTGGGCACTTGTCACCAAATCCGTTTCCACCTTGGTCCAAGACTTTTTATTTTTAATTCCCATACAATAGGATTCGCTATGTTTGGTGAGGAGTTGTGTGAATTTTAACAGTTGGGTAGAAGTCATCTAACCTGACAAGACAGGACATGTAGTTTACTTTTCAACAGGCCCTTAGGCAGTGGCCTGTGTATGAAAAGGCTCATTAAAATATCGGTTATCGTTCAACCGCGTTGCAGTAAATAAACACTATCAGAAAAATAAATGCATTAAAGTTCTGGAAGTTGGCAGGGATCAGACGTGAAGTTCTGGGCGGGGGTCGGGAGATGATGGAAGAGTCGTGCCTACATTTTAAAGGGCTTACATCTGTGAGGTAAAGCGTGATCAGCATCCATGTTTACCACTAACACCACCAACTCCATCTGGGCACCTAGATAATCTGCTCTCGCAGCTTGAAGAAAGCCTCAAGGCACCCAACCCTGCGCCCCTGGGACCGGTTCCACCTTCCGATAGAGGGCGTCGGCAGCGGCGGATTCGCGTCCCGGGGAATTTTGGGCCTCGCTCGCTGCCGTCCGCGGTCACGTGCCCGCCTGCGCGGCCGCCGTCCGTCTCTAGCCGGGGGCGGTTAAGCCGGGCGCGGGCAGGAAGGGTGCGGTGCCATTCTTAAAGGGGCCCGAGGAGCTGGCGACGGGCTGCCGACGGCCGGAAGGAAAATGGTGAGTGGCCGTGGGGAGGGCGTGGGCCGCAGGGCTGGGCCAGCCTGCCGGGCTTTCCTGTTTTCCAGAAGCGGGGTGTCTGCGGGCCGCGCCCGGGGCGGGTCGGCGGCCGCTCCCACCCCGGCTGCCCACCGGGGCCCGCGGGCAGAAACTTGGCCCCGGCCGCCGGCGGCGAGCACGGCCTCCGCCCGCCCAGCGAGCCCCGCGGGGACAGCGTGCCGCGCCGGCGGGGAGGGCAGCGGGCTGGGGGTCATCCTCGCCGGGCCCCGCGGGGTGAGGCGGGGTGAGGCTGGGGTACGCGCCGGGGGTTCGCGCCCGGGGGCAGGGCGGGTTCTGGCCCGTGGAGGCCACGAGCCAGGCCTGGGCGGGGACGGGGCGTGGGGGATCGGCGAGCCCCCAGCACTTCCTGCCTAGCGGCGTTTGCTGGGAGGACTGGCTGGCTTTCCTTGGGCCTGGCCTAAGCTGATTTTTTTGTCTCTCCCACCCCACCTCCCCTTCCCCTCCTGCCTTCCCCAGCAGATTTCTCCTCATCCCAGCGTTCATTGAGTGACCTCACTTGGAACCTTTTGACCCCAAGGCTCTGGCATTGGGCCTTAAACTGTCAAAAGATTGAGTTTAGCTTTCGGCTATGGCTTTCGTACTTCACCTTCCGTGAATCCCACACGTAAAACTAAAGTGGAGGATTCAATCCGTGGTCATCAAGGATCTTCCTTCCCAGCGGGTTTTAAAAATGTGATCAGGTTTCATTAGAAACAAGAAAACGTGGCCCTCGACTCCCACCCACTTTCCATGGAGTCGGTCTTGTGATGGTCACTGAATCCAGTGAATTTCAGGTGTCATCATTTCTAACTTTCAGCTGCATTCCAGGGCGGTGACATTTTTCCTTTTCTTTCTTTTTCTTCTTTTTTCTTCTTTTTTTTTTCTTTTCTGTCCTGAGGTTTGAATTCAGGGCCTGGGCTCTGTCCCTGAGCTGCTTTTACTCAAGGCTAGTAGTGCTCTACCCCTTGAGTGTGGTTCAAGTGTCACTTCCAACTTTTTCTGGGTAGTTTATTTGAAACGAGACTTTTCTGCACAGATTGACTTCGAGCCCTCAGATCTCAGCCTCCTGAGTAGTTAGAATTACAGGTGTGAGCCACCAGCACCCGGCTTCACTTTTCCTTTTTGAAGCGTTCTCTTCTTCCTGTTTGGTGTCTGGAATACAAAACTTGGTTTTCCTCCCTACTTTTCCTGCTGATCCATCTGTTTCCCACACATGCTGTTCTCCAATGCACGCAGAAGCCCTAGGCTCCATCCTAATCTTTGATTTTCCATGTTGTATTTTCTTTTTTTTTTGTCCATCATGGGGCTTGAACTCTGGGCTTGAATGCTGTTCCTTAGCTCTTCAGCTCAAGGCTAGTGCTCTACCACTTGAGCAACAGCGCACTTCCGGTTTTCTGGTGGTTTATTGGAGATAGGAGTCTCACGGTCTTTCCTGCCCCGGCTGGCTTTGAACCATGATCCTCAGATCTCAGCCTCCTGAGTAGCTAGGATTACAGGTGTGAGCCACCAGTGCCCGGCTCTATTTTCTCTTATATTCATGACTTGTTACCACTTGTCTTCCAATGACATGAACTTGTGTCTCAGACTTGCTTCTAAGATGCAGTCCAAATTTTATATCCCACCTTTTATTTATTTATTTATTTATTTTGCCAGTCCTGGGACTTGAGCTCAGGGCCTAGGCACTGTCCTTGGGCTTCTTTTGCTCAAGTCTAGCACTCTACCACTTGAGCCACAGCGCCACTTTCAGCTTTTTCTGTTTATGTGGTACTGAGGAATCAAACCCAGGGCTTCATGCATGCTAAGCAAGAACTCTACCACTAAGCTACATTCCCAGCCTATCCCACTCTTTAGTTAACATATCTGAGGAGCTTTTACCACTCTGGTGCCTCAAAGTCACTTCCATTTGTTTAAAAGCAAAACAAAATGCTCTTTCCCTTTAAACTCAAAGTTCCGTAACTGAGTGAAAGGTTGTGTCTGGGAGTCCTCTTGGTAACCCTCTTTTTCCTTACCCCTTCCACTTCTCCCATATCCAATATGTCACCAGCCCCTATGTAGTGGTTACCAGAATAGAAGTTAGGCTATTTGAGGTAGGTCTAGCTCCACCAGCTCTGAATTTGGAGAGAAACTTAAACTAAGATACTTGCAAAAATGGAGTATGGTGATAGTAGTCATCTCACAAGCTTGTCCTGAGAATGAAAGAGAAATGTACACAAAGGATGTTCAACAGTGTTTTGTGTAGTGTTTAATGCATATTAACTATTATTTAGCATTTCGTTTCCTTTTCATTTTGCTCTTCAGTGACTTCTCTTAGCTGCTTTTCATTTCTTATCTGGACTAGTTTCGGCCACTAGCTAAACTTGTATTCCTGCTGCCTGCGTTTGTTCCTCAAACCACAGCAAACAAGATCTTTTAAAAGTGCAAATCTGACCAAGATTTCCTTCCTCACCCTAGTTCAAACACATTTTGGCCAGGGAATAGGAAGCAAAATACTTAGACTCTGACCCAGTGCTTTGTAGGCCGTGTATCTGTTCCTCTTAGTGCCTAGGTCATGCTATCCATTATCTTGGATGCACTGAGCTCACTTTAATCAAAAGGGCTTGCATGAGCTGTTTCATAGAAAAGTCCTCAGTGGTGCTGTTGGTCTTCAATGGTTTTAAGTCTTCGCTGCATTATGTATCTCTATTTTCTAGCCTTATCACAGGTACCAGCTTATATATTTTTACCTAATCTTTTTTATGTAGAGCTGTTCTTTGCTCCAGGAAGCTGGTGCTGGTGACTCATGCCTATAATCCTAGCTACTCAGGAGGCTGAAAACTGAAGGATTGAAGCTTGAACCAGGGCAGAAAAGTATGATTGAATTTCTAGCATTCAGTGTGGTGCTGACATTCATTACATCTTCATTTAGTATAGACAGATCAGTAAATGAATACCTCAGCTCAACTATCTTGGGGTAATATTTACCACGCAGAGTTGTTTATATGATACATTCATTCTTAAATGATTCTATTAAGGACACAAGGTAAATGTTGGTCAAGTCTGATTCTTCATAGGATGGAATTTTAGGCCTGACTGTGTATTGGCAAATGGCAAAATGCAAAAATGAGTGATACAGCTGGGTGTCAGTGGCTCACACTTCTAATCCTAGCCACTCAGGAGGCTGATATCTGAGGATCTCAGTTCAAAGCGAGCCGGGGCAGGAAACTCCGTGACACTCTTATCTCCAAATAACCCACCAGAAAACTGGAAGTGGTGCTGTGGCTCAAGTGGTAGAGTGTTTGCCTTGAGCTGAAGAGCTGAGGGATAGCACCCAGCCTACGGTCCCACAATTGACAAAAAAAAAAAGATACAACCAAATCACCTTTTTTTTTTCCGGTCATGTTGGGGATTAAGCCCAGGGCTTTAACCATGGTACATAAGTATTCTACTTTTTCACCTGGTTTCTGGTCCTAGCATATCAAGCTTGCACGAACAACTGTGATTATCAGTTGGAGGATAAGACTTTCATGACAAATTGATCTTTGCTAAAACAAAAATCTGAATTGTATATTAGTTTCACTAATGAATTCTATCTTTATTCAAAGACAGAATAGAAATTCCAGTTTTCTAGCTTCATTATCTTCTTTCAGAAACAGGAAATAATTAACTGGTATTGAATCTTAGCTTCAGTAAGTTCCCTTTGATTGATTTAATCTCTTGAAAGTGAACTAAAAGGATGGAAATATTTAACTCCTACAGGAGTGTTATTTATTGGATAGTACCTTTTGATGAGTTGTATTTGCAGTTTGTCTAACAGAATATCTATATTTATTATATTGTATAATAACATGTGTATATCATAACTTACATATTTCCAATGTTCTGAATTTAAAGGACAATTAAAATTGATAACTATTTCCTGCTTTAGTGTATGCTGTCTTTTACCCAACACAGGGATAAAGCAAGTGGACTTTTATTTTAAGTCAAAATTGGAAGTTGTAATGATTTGGAATTATGATGAAATGCTTACTTAGAATAGGTCTAAGAGACCAAAGGCTGGGAATGTGTTAGAGGTAGTGTGCTTGCTTAGCATGCATGAAGCCCTGGGTTTGATTCCTCAGTACCACATAAACAGAAAAGGCCAGAAGTACTGCTGTGGCTCAAGTGACAGAGCATTAGCCTTGAGCAAAAGAAGTCCAAGGACAGTGCCCAAACACTGAGTTCAAGCCCCAGGATGAGAGAGAGAGAGAGGGAGGGAGAACACTAAGTAAAAGGACTTATTTGGAATTTGACTCAATCAAACCAGTGGCCTAAAAAAAAAAAATTAAAACAATGGCGGTATTTGAATACTAGATATTTGAGACTAGAATTGTTAGAGAGAGAGAGAGAGAGAGAGAGAGTGTGTGTGTGTGTGTGTGTGTGTGTGTGTGTGTGTGTGTGTGTGTGTACCAGTCTTAGGGCTTGAACTCAGGGCCTGGGTACTGCGCCTGAGCTCAAGATTGGTGGTCTACCACTTCAGCCACAGCTCCACTTCTGGGTGGCTAATTGAAGAGAAGAGGCTCACAGACTTTCCAGAGCAGTGCCTGGGCTGGCTTTGAACTTCAGTCCTTAGTTGTTAGCCTCTGAGTAAGTAGGATTATACCAGTACCCTGAAAATTGTCAGTTGGTGGGTTAAAATTACTATCTTTATGTGTGTGTGTATATAAATAAATAAATAAATATACACTGTCCTTTAAATAATACATACTAAAATATTTTATGGCTTCTGGCTTTGATGTAGATTAGGGGTCATTGTTGATGGATTGGAGGAAATAAACCAATAGTAGTTACTGCTGAGTAATTATCCATAGGGCTTCATTGTCTGTACTTTTATATGAATATGATGTTTTACATATTAAAAACAGAGAAATGAGTAGTTGTGGAGGATGAATCCCAGCTTCTGGGGTGGCTGAAGCAGGAGGTTCACAAGTTTGAGGCATCATCACAAGACTTTCTAAAAAGAGAGAGAGGATTGACATCCCTTGTGACATCCCTCAACAGTATTAAAAGAAGAGTGCTTTTGGAGGTGGAGCTGTGGCTGACTTGGTAGAGAGCTAGCCATGAACACAAAAGCTCAGGGACAGCTTGGGAGCCCAGGGTTCAAGCCCCAGGACTGGCAAGAAAAGAAAATGGAAAGTATTTTTGATCATTTCTAGGGAAAGTTCTCATATTTCTTCACGATTCCTAAATAATTCTTGTAGCTTTTCAATTTGATTTTCTGCTTTGTTCTTCTGTGTATTCTTGATACTCATCTCTATAGTCAAGATACTAAATGTCTAGATTGTTACTCATCTTTACTCCTGTGATTTGTTTTGTTTTTGTTTTTTATCGGTTGTGGGGCATGAACTCTGGGCCTGGGCGCTCTTCAGTTCAAGGCTAGTGCTCTACCACTTGAGCCACAACACCACTTCCGGCTTTTTCTGCTTATGTGGTGCCTGAGGAATCAAACCCCAGGCCTCATGCATGCAAGCCAAGCACTCTACCACTGAGCCACCTTCCCAGCCCCAATTTTTTTTTTAAACTTTTACTTTTTTTTTTGGTCTGTCCTGGGATTTGAACTCTGGGCTTGGGCACTATTCCTCAGCTCTCAGCTCAAGGCGAGTGCTCTACCGCTTGAGCCACAGAGCCACTTCCAGTTTTCTAGTGGTTTTATTGGACGTAATAGTCTCCCAGGCTTTCCTGTCTGGGCTGGCTTTGAACCGTGATCCTCAGGCTACTGAGTAGCTAGGATTACAGGCATGAGCCACCAGTGCTCAGCTACTTTTACTATTTTTATTTATCTCCATAATTGTGAATTCCCCACACAGGAAGGTGATTATTTTCCTGTTCTTCCTGCACAGCGTAAAACTGCTGTGCCTGCATTATCTACTAGCACCTGGCAATCCTCGACTTCTGTTTCCCTCCCTTCTCCAGTTCTGACGAGATAAGTATTTTTATGTGCCTGGTTTTTTAAACATTTGCTAGCCAAAGAGAACATTAAAGTATATCTTACAAAGAAGATGAGCAAATCTATATGATTAAAAAGTGTAGATCTAAAGATTAGTAGATTTGAAAATTCTTTAGCATCTGTGTATATATTGAAGTCATGGCATTTTATATGTTTGTCTTTTCTCTTTTGTAGAGTGAGTCTTTGGTGGTTTGCGATGTTGCTGAAGATTTAGTGGAAAAGCTGAGAAAGTTTCGTTTTCGCAAAGAAACAAACAATGCTGCCATTATAAGTAAGCTAAAAGTGATTGCCTCAAAAGTTTCATGATTTTTGTTTGTTTTAATCTTATGGTTACATTGCCTTGATAGCCTTTAAAGAGTAATATCGCTTCTACCTGTTGTATTTCACGTCATCTTTAAAAATTAAGGACTCCCCAGGTGCTAGTGGCTCACGCCTGTGATTCTACTCAAAAGGCTGAGATCTAGGGATCACAGTACAAAGTCAGCCCAGACAGGAAAATCTGTGAGACTCTTATCTCCAATTAACTACCAGGAAACCGTAAGTGGAGCTGTAACTCAAAGTGGGAGAACTCTAGCAGTGAGCAAAATACCTCAGGGGCAGCATCCAGGCCCTAAGTTCAAGCCCAAGCACTGACCAAAATAAAAAACAACAACACAAAAACTAAAAAAAAAAAAAAAAAATCCTAAAAACTAAGGACCAGCTAATATCATGGAACACATGTGGAATGTCCTTCTTTCCCCATAGTCCTGTAAGCTGCCCACTAGCTCTGGAGAAAATACTCATCTTGGCTACTTGGGGAATGATGAGTTCCATTTGTAGTGACCATTCCAAAACTATCTTTCTTGGGGGACTAAAAATAACCTGGGCATTCATCCTCCAAGAAACCTTGCCCACCCCTGAAATGGTAAAGTTTCAGCATTGTGTCCTGAGTGACTTTTGGTCTTATTCCATCCAATTCTAGTTTCATGGAGAGGATTTAAGTGTCTTCTGAAAATGGGAAGGATACTTTATTTGCACATTGCCTACCCACTGTATGCCCTATTGGATGCTTTGCACATTTCCTTGTTGTCATAGATTGCATATAATATGTGGGCAATGGTTTAGAAAGGTGAAGGAAGCATGAGGGAGTGAAAATGTAAAACCCTATAATTGTGCTTGAGATGCATCTGGCAGATGGGAATTAATCAGAGATGGTTAACACTTCGCCATGAATACTGTTCTATTACAAATAAATACTATAGGCATATAGTTCTTAAAAGTGAAATTTATATTAGTGCCATTTTTCCACAGAAGGTGAAGATATTTGAAACCATATTGTATTTTATATGATTTAGTATAAAATGTGTACAAAACTAAAAGGGAGTCAAATTTTCAGGCTCTGAAAAATAAAAGTCAAACATCATCCAGGTGTTGGTTGCTGATGCCTGTAATCCTAGCTACTCAGGAGGCTGAGATCTGAGAATTGTGATTCAAAGCCAGCCTGGGCAGGAAAGTCCATGAGACTCTTATCTCCAGTTAACCACCAGAAAACCAGAAGTGGTACTGTGGCTCAAGTGGTAAAGTGCTCGCCTTGAGCTGAAAAGCAGAGGGACAGTGCCCAGGCCCAGAGTTCAAGCCCCATGTTCGACAGGGAAAGAAAAGAAGTTATACATTGTCTAAACTTATTTTGATTTGGCTTTAAATCATGCCAGATATATTTGAATAGAGATATCATTGCTCTTTGGCAATTTACTTTTTTAGAATTAGGAAGCTGCATTTGAGTTACAAGGTTCTTTTTGTGTGTGTGTGCTAGACCTAGGGCCTGAACTCAGGGTTTGGGCACTGACTTATGAGCTTCTTTGCTCAAGGTTAGCACTCTGCCACTTGAGCCACAGCTCTACTTGTGGCTTTTGGAGGTTAATTGGAGATGAGAGTCTCAGGGATTTTCTGCCCAGGCTGCCTTCAAACATTGAGTTTCAGATCTCAGCCTCCTAAATAGCTGAGGTTTTGTGTGAGCTACTGGTGTCCAGCAAGTTTGCAAGGTTTTCCATAAATATAGTATATTATACTATTGGAGTGGCCCCCCCCCCCCAATATTGGGGTCCATGGCCAAAGGAATGAGACTGAAACAAAGCGAAAGTCAGACAAAGCTATATTTCACACCAAGAATCTAGAAACAGACTGACCGATTAGGGCCGCTTCGGCAGAGAGCGAACCCCGCTCAGCTGCACGGGCTAATATTTATAGGGAACAGGCCATGCAGTTAGGCTGGCCACACACAGGTGGCCAATAGCATTGCAACACTTGCACAAAATTGCACAGTTATGTTGGGCCACATGCAAGTGACCAGTGAGGTTACAACTTATCCCTAAGCAGTAGTTTAATGGTCTTTTTTTTTTTTTTTTTTTTTGCTTATGTGGTGCTGAGGAATCGAACCCAGGGCCTCAGGCATGCATGGCAAGCGCTCTACCACTGAGCCACCTTCCCAGCCCCGCTAAGCAGTAGTTTAAACTAGCCTACACTTTTGTCAGTTTTGGCACACAGGTTTGGCTGGGGGGAGGGGGGTTTGGAGATGTTGCATTCCTTGGTGGGGGGGGGGGGGATGTTGCATATGTGCTATTACTGATTGGACGTGTCCACCTGGCCTCTAGGCTCTGTTATCAGAGACTTGCAATCCACATTTTTCCTAAACTTGTAAACAACAAGAAGGATGTTTAACCAGGGTGAAGTCATGCAGGCTCACTGCATCCTAACATTAAGATGGGGTCCAAACTTTAAGTCTAAACAAGCAATCAAGATGCTGAGAATTGTGTATAGAGGCTTAAAAGCTGACTCCTAAGAAAACCAAGCTAGTTAATAGATACTTAGTTATACTACAAATAAGTTTTGTGCTTGTGTTTGTGGATGTGTTAATTTTAGATGTTTGCCTGGCAAAGACTGAGACTGCATGGGTTGGGTAGATGAAGGGCACATTAGAATCACAATTAACTTGTACTCTGTTTTCATTTTAGTGAAGATTGACAAGGATAAAAGCCTGGTGGTACTCGATGAGGAGCTTGAGGTTTGTTCAATAAGTTAAATATGATTTTTTTTTTTTTTTTTTTTTTTTTTTGTCGGTCGTGGGACTTGAACTCTGGGCCTGGGCGCTGTCCCTCAGCTCTTCAGCTCAAGGCGAGTGCTCTACCACTTGAGCTACAGCGCCACTTCCGGTTTTCTGGTGGTTTATTGGAGATAGGAGTCTCACGGTCTCTCCTGCCCGGGCTGGCTTTGAACCGCGATCCTCAGATCTCAGCCTCCTGAGTAGCTAGGATTACAGGCGTGAGCCACCAGCGCCCGGCTTTAAATATGATTTTTATAGTTAAGCAACTACTGTTCACAAGATGCTGTATTAATTACATATACTTTTCAAATGAGGTCTGAACTTCCTTTAAATATATACTCATGCGTGCATGGGCTAATTATTGTGTGCTTCATTGTTCTGCTAATTTAACTGCCTTCTCTAAGGCATTAATGAGAACCAGTTTAATAACTGGTACAAGTTAGGGCTATATGCGTAGTGAAAAGCAAGTCAACTTTATAACTTCTAATTGCTTAGAGAGTAATTCAAAAATAAAAAATCTACTAAATACTGGAGTATTTGACAACTAAATAACTAGAGGAGAAATAAATGAACTTTTTTTTCTTTTTTGTGTGTAAGATCAGTTTTTTCCTCTGAGTTACTACTTCTCTTACTCAATTTCCTAACAATTGGAGCATAGGCATAGAAAGTTCAGTCATCCTCATATTTAGTCAATAAATGGAAGTTTTTTTTTTGGTGGCCTGTGATAATGAAATTATAACTAGCCAGGCACTGATGGCCACACATGTAATCTTAGCTACTCTGGGGGCTGAGATCTGAGGATGGAGGTTCAAAGCCAGCCTGGACAGGAAAGTCTATGAAACTCTTATTTCTAGAAAACTAAAAAAAGTGGTACTGTAGCTCAAAGTGGTAGAGTTCTAGCCTTGAGTGAAAAAACTTGGGAACAGTGCCTAGGCCCTGAGTTCAAGCCCCATGACCGACAAAAAAAATCATAGCTACTAATGGAATGGGTGCCTGTGTATCACCTATAGATTTACAAATAAGGAGATGCTTAAAAGTTGTTCTTTTTTGTGGTGCCAGGGCATTTCACCAGATGAACTTAAAGATGAACTACCTGAACGGCAACCTCGATATCCTTTTCTTGGTGCTTTAGAAAGATTTGCTTCTGTAAGTGGTCAGAATTTTAACATGTTTTTTTACCTTGTGATCACAAGCAAATGAAAATCTATAAGCATATATTAGACTAAGAAAAATGAAAAGTTGGGCTGGGAAGGTGGCTCAGTGGTAGAGTGCTTGCCTTGCATGTCTGAGGCCCTGGGTTTGATTCCTCAGCACCACATAAGCAAAAAGAAAAAAGCCGGAAGTGGCGCTGTGGCTCAAGTGGTAGAGTGCTAGCCTTGAGCTGAAGAGCTGAGGGACAGCACCCAGGCCCAGAGTTCAGGCCCCACGACCGGACCCAAAAAAAAAAAAAAATTTTTTTTATTGTAATTTGTTTATAATAAGAAATGAAAAAAATCATTTAAACCAATATTCTAAATTTTCTCTTTTAGAGATTACATGATTTTATGACTTAATCTTTGGAGCTGAGTTGTAATTTTGTAGAAAAATAATAATGAAGGTATAAGGAATAAGATACAGGTTTACCACTCAATAGTTGGTAGTGATCTCAAAGCAGAAACTTTAGATTCTTTAACTTGAGAAAAACCTTCATTGTATATAGTTATAAGTATCAACATGATGATGGAAGAGTCTCCTACCCTCTGTGCTTTATTTTCTCCAGTCCTGTTGGTAAGTGAATTTCTTTAAATAATGTGTAACTGGCTCTCATCTAATTACCCATGTTTTGTTAAACAGATTTCATACTGTGTTTAAGGATGAATGGTTAAATGGCTGACGGGAGAGAGAGACAGAGAGAGAGAGAGAGAGAGAGAGAGAGAGAGAGAGAGAGAGAGAAAGAGATGCATGGACCTGCATACACATCCCTAGCAAGCATCTACTACAAATCATCTCTTAGAATGTATTTACCTTTAGTATAAAGTCTAAGAAGTGTAATTGTTGGGTCAACTCATTCATACATTTTAATGATTCTGAAATACAGGAATACTTTATAAATATATGACATATATGATATATTTTAAACTTGTTTGTAACCATGTGAACTTTATACAATCGTGATAAACTTTGTTTATCTTTCTAAAAGTAGTTAGGAGTGGATGGTCCCAGAGTAGCTTACAGTAGCTATTAGGATATATTATTTCTGTTTAAGGAATTGTCTTGTGAACTCCCGCTACCAGTGTTTAGGCTCACAGTAAAGGCTATACTCACTGAACTCTTCTCCAAATTTAGGCATATATCATTTCCTTAACCCTTAAGGTATACTGCAATATCTTTTTACCTTAATATGTACAAACACTATTCACTTTTTAATGAAACAGATCTGCTTCATTACCAGTTCAAACTATCTGTTGTAAGTATCTGAAAATTTACCTTGATATTTAGTGTCAAACTAAAGATAGTACTAAGTGTTTATAAGACTGGAAGAGTCTATATCTACAGATATCTTAAAATAATTTATTTTTGTTGATCTGTAGACTTCTTTGTAACTATGTCTCTGTGTAGGCAGTATGCAGTATAAAACTCAAAATACGTTTAGGCCAAAGTTTTTTGTTTTTTTGGTCCACATTTTTTTTTTAATTGTGAAAATACTATACAGAGGGATTACAATTACATGGGCAAGATAATGAGTACATTTCTTATCAAGCATTGTAGCCTCCTCCTTTGTTTCCCCTTCCCATCCCTTCCCGTCCTCCCCCTACCCAATCCTCCTCCCCACCCCAGGCCAAAGTTCTTATAAACACAATGGCAAGGAAAAATTTAAATGTCTTTCTTTAGGAGAAAAATAATCAAAACTTACTACTTTTTTAAAATTACCTTATTTTTATATTAATTGCTGTCTTCTAGGTTGTAAGCCTGAACAACAGATGATGTATGCTGGGAGTAAGAATAAATTAGTCCAAACTGCTGAACTAACCAAGGTAGTGTTCATATTAGCATCTTTGTTGATATTATAATTCCCTGAGACTTTAAAGTGGATAGTTTAGTGGGGTTTTTTTCTTGTTTTTTGTTTTTTAATGTAGGGGAAGGTTATTTGCACCATAGCAATAAATTACCAAAGGCTTTTTAAAATTAGAAATAGAATATTTGTGGCCAGGTATGATAACTCATGTCTGAAATTCCATGTGAGGCAGAAGTTGCATCACAGTTGAGACTAGCCTAGACAAAAAAAGTTAGCAGGACTCTAAATACAAGCCAGGAATGGTGTTCTGAAAGCCCAGCTATGCTGAAGACAAAGAATAGCAGTCCAAGGCTCACCCAGGTAAAAACACAAGACTAGCTCTGAATGATACATGAAGCAAAAAAGTGTTGGAAGTATAGTTCAAGTGGGAGAGCAGTGACCTGGTAAGCAGAAGACTTTTAAGTTTAAAACCTATCCTGTAAAAAAAAATAAAAAGAAAGCTGGTCGCTGGTGGCTTACACCTGTAATCCTAACTTCTTGTGAAGCTGAGATCTGAGGATCCTAATTTGAAGCCAGCCCAGGCAGAAAAGTCCCCGTGAGACTTTTATCTCCAATTACACATTGAAAAACTGCAAGTGGCGCTGTGGCTCTGATGGTAGAGTGCTAGCCTTGAACACATAGAGGCTCAGGAACAGCGCCCAAGCCCTGAGTCCAGATCCCACAACCAACGATAGATAAATAAATAAATAAAAGTCTTAGAACCAAAATATGTTTTTCTGAATAAGTTGATTAGAAAAAAAAATCACAATTCAAAAAGTAAGCAGCTTCAGAAAAGCTATTATAACCTTACATCTGTTGAGAGTTCTTTGCCTTCTGTGATGTAATTTCTAATAGATAAAGTTAACCTGAGGTTTCTTTGAGCCCTTTCTCCTAGCCTAAAATGAACCAGGTTGTGCTGAAATTTTGTATTATGCAGCTAACTGTATTATTATTAAATCTAAAATTGCTAAAAGTATTGATTGCTGGGTTCTATGGATCATGCCTGTAATCCCAGCTACTTAGGAAGTAGACCTTGGAAGATGGCAGTTTGAGGCAAGCCCCAGCAAACAAGTGGGTGTTGTGGTTCATGACTATAATCCCAGCTTCATGAGAATTCATAGGTAGAAAAACTGATCTAAGACTAAACCTGGGCCAAAAAAAAAAAAAAAATGTGAGAAACTATTTGAAAAATAAAGAGAAACAAAGTTAGAGGTATGGCTTGGTGGTGGAGAGAGCCTTCCTAGCAAGCAGAAGGCCTGGGTTTGAACCCTAGTGCTATAAAACAGAAACGGAAACCAAAAAGGACTATTAATAAACAGTCCTCTATGAGATACTCACTTTAAGATGTAATGTATTTCCATTATTTTGTTTTGTTTCTGAAGGTTAAAGGTAAGAGATATTTGCTCTCAAATTTATCTTCCACATACTAGTTTGAATTAGAAAATTTGGTATAGTTATGTTTTGAGGTTCATATTTTAAGGACCACATTAAAGGTGTTTTTCCTAGTCATCAACTCTGGGAATGTCTTCAAATCCATCTTCTTCTTCTCTTCAGTCTATATGATTATCACTGAAACCATCTCCTTTGTCCTAATTTGTATCCTAGGAATGTTTTGGATTTAAACCACTGAGTGTTTTAAACCACTGAGTGGTTAACAACAACAGTACTTTGCTGACATGTCAAACCCTGACTTAGTACTCTTTTTTATACTTTTGTAAATAATCTCACTGAATCCTTATGATAGCTCTGTGAGTATGACTGGGCTATTCCTATTCTGTTTGGACTAAGACTAAGCTAGGAATCAAGCCCCTAATTCTGTCCTACTGTTAACATCTTGTCTCCTTATAGCCATTATACTATAGCCTTTTTTTCAATCTCTTAATGTTGGTGTTTCCATGTGCTGCTCAAATTATGGATACCTGGCAGTAATATCTTAACTAGATTGTTTTAGATGTGGTTTTTTGGTCGTATCTTCTAATGTATAAGAACTAATTTTTTTTTTTTTTTTTTTTTTGGGTCCAGTCGTGGGGGCCCGAACTCTGGGCCTGGGTGCTGTCCCTCAGCTCTTCAGCTCAAGGCTAGTGCTCTACCACTTGAGCCATAGCGCCACTTCTGGCTTTTTTCTGCTTTTGTGGTGCTGAGGAATTGAACCCAGGTCCTCATGCATGAAAGGCAAGCACTCTACCACTGAGTCAACTTCCCAGCCCCATACTGTGCTGCTTTTGTTTTGTTTTTTTTTGTTTTGTTTTTTGTTGGTCGTGGGGCTTGAAGTCTGGGCTTGGGCGGACTGCACTCTTCAGCTCAAGGTGAGCACTCTACCTCTTGAGCCACAGGGCCACTTCCAGTTTTCTAGAGGTTTATTGGAGATGAGTCTCAGGGAGTTTCCTGCCCAGGCTGGCTTTGATCCCCAAATCTCAGCTTCCTGTGTAGCTAGGATTACAGGCATGAGCCACAGGTGCCCGGCCATAATGTGGTTTTTAAAGTGTCAGAGTCTGATGTAAATTTTTGTTGTTGATTTTTTTCTTTCAATTAAGGTATTTGAAATAAGAAACACTGAAGACCTAACTGAAGAATGGTTACGTGAAAAACTTGGATTTTTCCACTAATGTGAACTTCCGTGTTTATATTCTAAACTATTTGTGTGTTAACCTGACCATACTGGAACCAGACATAAATACTTATTTATGCCTAAAAATACACTGTTACTTACAGTTTGTTTCCTGCAGTAAAGAAAAATTCTTCATTTGTGCAAAGTTTGAACAAAGAGGAAATCATCTTCATAGTAATAAAACTTTGTAAAGTGTTTCCTTATATTTGTAACTATTAGGTGGACAACTTTTCTCCAGGGACTTTTTGCACTCTTGTGACTAATTTCTATAACTTACGGTTCAGAATTCGTTACTATTTACAGACACTATAGGAAAGTTGGGTTTTAGATTGTGAGAGATAATAGTCGCCTCCTTTTGACAAATATTGGATATTAGAAGTTTATAAGTGAAAATAGTTTATTATCATTTGATCATTGACATTCATTTGGGGCTGAAGATGTGAATCACCTAATGTTGAGCCATGAATTGTAATTTACAAGTGTAACCTACATTACAAGTATAGTTTTCAACTTCCCTACCTCTTTTGGTTTATTTTTATCTTTTTCATCATTTCTAGAAACTTGTCTTCAATCATTCCTTAAGGTCTGAAAATTAGGTTTTTATGATGAGAGTTAGGACTTTTGGGTGTTCTTATAGAAAATAACATCTTAGTCTTAGAAACTGGAAAGTTGTAATGATCAAGGGCTTCATTCCTTTTTTATTTTGCTGGTCCTGAGGCTTTAACTCTGGGCCTGGGTGCTGTCCCTGAGCACCTTTTGCTCAAGGCTAGCACTCTGTCAATTGAGCCACAGTGCCACTTCCAGCATTTTCTGTGATTTGGTTGGAGATAACTGTCCTACCCAGGCTGGCTTCAAGCTGCAATCCTCAGATCTCAGCCTCCTGAGTAGCTATGATTACAGGCTTGAGCCACTGGCACCTAGCTATAGTCATTCTTGATTATGTCATTTCCAGACTTTTGAATCTAGGTTAATAATGGTTTATAAAGCTCCTCCTAACATCTAATGAACACTAATTATTTTAAATATGTTAATACTGTGCCTTTGATTTGTTAGCTTTAAAGTTAGTTAAGACTTTTACACTGCCAGTATTCTAGATTTGGCGAAACTAATACTTTTTTAAAGGGCCCAAGTAAAACAGTTTTCTAATATGTGTATTTGAAGTTTGTAATAAAATCAACTTCTTATTTTTAAAATTCCGACTATCTACTTGTGTTGGTGATACATGGCAGGTGAGAATGGTAACTTCAGGTTTATTTGTGCTTAGTATTGTGCCATATCTAAGAATTACCTTAAAATTTGGGCCATATTTAATAACAACACATCAATAGAAGTCACATCTTCTATCCTAAACATCAGAAGATACTACAGACACCTGGATGGTTGGCTAAATCAGCCATGTTAGGACATGGCACACTACAGAAGACAAAAATCCTAATGTTTGCTATATTTTGCAAACAAATGTATAAGTAGCTGAATGATAATTTGCTAAGTAGAGACTAGAGGCTAACCAAATTTGGTGGGTGAATTCTTATAGTAAGGATTTTGTAGTCATTTCCAAACTTAAAAAAGCCATTCTTTTTATGTTGGCATATTTTCTATTCATATGTTTTTTGCATTTTTGTTTTGAAGGCTTTGTGCCAACTTTAATAAGCAGGTAATGGTAGTTGGAATTCTCAAAATATTGAAAGGAACATCTTCGGCTCCCAACAGTGGCTTTGCTAATCTAGATGTCAGAACACAATGGCAAGTTGGGAGATGAGAAAGTACTAGAGTATGTATTTATTTGGGTTAAGAATGGAAATTTTCATTTATTCCAATTTCCAGAGAGAAAAAGAAATCTTCACTAGGAAGGTTTAGAATTCTGTAAACAGGTATTTTGATACTGGAGAATAACTTGCTTATAATTCTGTAGAAATGTAAATGTTTTGAATGAAGGAAATAAGGTTTTGTTTCACATACTTTGCATCAAGAAGAGAAACCAGTGCTGCAAGAATGTATATTTTTAATGAGGTTCCTGTTTTTTCTTATATATGTTGTTTACTTTTTTTTAAGTTCCAAAAGTTCTCCATTAGGTCAGATAATATGACCTGCCTTTCTCAGAACTCTTTGTTTCCTGATCCTCTAATCAGGAGCTTTTATTTAAAGGCTGAGATGAGCTGGGTATGTTTTTGTTTTTTAGCTTATCAGTAATGTTTGTTTTGCAAGGAAACAGATTGATATATGGGATCCTAGACTTTTTTTTTCTTCTGTCCTATTTAGGGAGATTTCCAAATCTTATATTCAGAATTTCATAATTTTGTGTTGTTCTTTTAAAGAAAATCATACCCTGTCTAGTCTCTTTTTTTCTGCCTTTCCACAAATAATAACTACAGATTTCACAATCCCAAATTTTACATTCCATATCTTTCTGATAATAAGCATTCCCATTCATTTAATTTTAATCCTTTTAGGCAGCAACTTTTTCCTGGGAACCTCCTTTGTGGTCTCCTAAGCTGGCATTAGTTTTGAAATTGTGGACATGTGTAAGTTCTGAATAGCATCTAGTATCAAAATTGAATCAACTAGTAATGGCAGTATGTATTTAGGATGTATGGTTTTGTGGCAACTTAAATGACATGAAGAGAACTGTTCTCAGGTTAATAGGCTGAAATTCCAAAATGTCTGAATTTTGAAACATCATTTTGTTCTGGTTTTGAAGCATAGGAAAAAAGTTAACTGATTATTTTTGTTTGATTTCTGAAATAAATGTTGTCTTCTTCTAAAAAGTTTACTCAATGACTAGTGCAGTTAAACATATTCTTGTTTAAGAGCGTGTTGCTAAATTTTTTAAAAATTGTCATAAGTAAATGATCTATGTGGTAAACATTTGTTAGCACCTTCCCTCCCTTTCTATCTCCTATTTTCAGGAGTCAAATGTAGCCATAAACTGTCCTGATCTGACACTTTACATTTCCACCTAAGGTAGTTTATTGCCAAATTAAATTTGGCTCTTTTCCTTCTACTCATGTAGATTAAAGAAAGTGTAACTAAAGGTTTGGACTACTTTTAGAACTTGAACAATGTTGTTAATCCACATGTGGACCTAGTGATGAATGGATATTTTCATATGAGTTTAAATGCTGATAGGCTACTTGGCGGAAGCAGAGACTAACTGGTATTCTACTCATAGAATTATTCTTTGTATGGTTGTTTGTCCCATAGACTGATAATACTGGAATCTACAAAGTTTGAGCCTTTACAACATACATGAAAAGGTGTATCAAACATTTCTCGGCAAATCTTATTTTGTATTTCTGGAAGAATATAAATAATCTTCTAGGCCACTTGAAACCAATGGTCCCAAATTGAATATTCTTGAGAAACTTGTTTTCTTTTAGGCTGTTTGACATTTCAAATCAATAATCATTCATGTAATGTTTAAAACTACTATGTTAAACTTGTAATGGAAACTGTATTTTCTTGCTTTTTGGAATATAATTCATAAACATATAATTACTTGAATATTATTTAAGATCACTGACATACCAGGGCAATTCCCACTGATGTAGATGGTCCAATATAATCTCATTCAGGAGGCTTGAAACATTATTGGTTGAGTCTTGTGAATTTTAACAGTTCTATGTCATTCTTTAACAAAACCATCAACTGGCACAACTTCTTAAGCCAGAGTTTCTGTCTCTGCTAGTTCATAATTGCATGTTTATTTTGGACAGTCTTTTTGTTAAGCATGGTGCTTGTACTGGTTTAAATAAAATATTAACGTGAAAAGACTTGTAGCTTTGCATTTTTTGCTTGCCTCTTCCCTACTTTGGGTTTACTGATAGCTGTCTGGCCCAGTTTGTATCAGCCATACACCATTTAGCTGTTTTCCTTATTTGTAAAATCTAAGAGGCAAAAGAAACAGCATCTTGATGAAACAAATATGAAATCACAACCTGATGTTAAGATAACTGATTTGTAGAAAATGTCATGAATAGTACAGGCAGTGAGATTAAGTCCAACAATGAACCTCACTTTGAAAGGGAAAATTCAAATTTAGATGGTCTGTGCACTTCATAAGAAACTGGAGGGAAGTTGCTGTTATTAGAAATGTCTCATCATAGCTGGGCGCTGGTGGCTCACGCCTGTGATCCTAGCTACTCAGGAGGCTGAGATCTGAGGATCGCGGTTCAAAGCCAGCCCGGGCAGGAAAGACCGTGAGACTCCTATCTCCAATAAACCACCAGAAAACCGGAAGTGGCGCTGTAGCTCAAGTGGTAGAGCGCTCGCCTTGAGCTGAAGAGCTGAGGGACAGTGCCCAGGCCCAGAGTTCAAGCCCCATGACCGACAAAAAAAAAAGAGAAATGTCTCATCACATAGCCCATCCTGCCTTGTTTATTGCTGGAGCTATCATACGTGTCTATGAGAATGAATACAAAGGGTTTACCATATACTTTTTTTATGATTAATTATGTAGTAATGCTCACAGTTTGTTTGAGTTCTTAAAGGAGTATTTGGTAGTTAACGTATTTTACTCAAACATTTCTGTGGAGAATTGGCCAAAGCCTGGACACATTTGTAACTTCCTTCCTTCTCATATTTGGCTCATCAAAACAGCAGCTCCTTTGTTTTTTTCACCTTCAATAAAAATATTTTCATTAACTTTTTGTCCCTTTCACTCTTTAGCGGCATTGTAAGCACTTGCTCTCTGGCCATGGAGCCACCCTCATTCAATTAAGGATATTCACCGTGTGGAAATCCTGTCCATGTTCAGTACATGTTTGCCTATTTCAGGACCTTACTGTAGAGCATCATGGAGGTTCCACACAGATTTCTCCTCCACTTGATCTGCCCCTAGATTGCATGGAAGCTTGCTAAGGTTGCCTTTCAGTTATATAGGAAAGAAGAACAACCCAGCTTACAACCAGAGCCACATGTCCAAACAAAGTACGGTGTGTGTGAGAGAGAAAGAAACTCCTAAAAGTTACAGTTATCTTCCTCTGGAATACAAGACTCCATATTTTGGCTTACTTCTTAAGTGTGCTGGGTAGCTTAGTCCATTTTATGCTCCTGTAACAAAATATCTGAGACCAAGTTAATGAATGAAGGACAGAAACTTATTTTTTGACAATTCTGGATTCTGGGAAGTCCTAAGATGAAAGTGCAGTCTTCTGGTGAGGGTTTTGTGTGTGTGTGTGTGTGTGTGTGTGTGTCTGGTGAGGGTTTTGTGTGTGTGTGTGTGTGTGTGTGTGTGTGTGTGTGTGTGTGTGTGTGTGTGTGTGTGTGCAGAAGGGGCTAGAGGCAAGCCCACTTAACCTTTCTAAGTAGCCACTAGTTCATTCATGAGGCTCTGCCCATAAGACCCCACTTCACAACACTTTAAGTCTATATTATCTAACTAGTGTCAATTAATGCATTAGGCTAATAATTTTCTTGAATGAGGTAGTTAGCAGTGTGAGCTGAACTCAGTACAGAAGAGGCCATGTGCAGCCTACAAATCAGAGGATAACAATGTCAGCTGAAGCAGGCATGCAAAGTAGCTGAAGGTGTTAAATATGGAGCCCTCAAATCAAGGAGTCACACTCCTGCCTTTTACATCCAAAAGGCTACCTCTGATCCAGGATCACTTGTCAGGACCCCTTGTTTCTGAGGCCTAATGGAGTTAGCCTTTTCTGAAAAGCTCTCCATATCTATCCCTCCAAGAAACCCTGCATTGCTTAGGTTAACCTGGGCAGATCTTTTTACACTCCTAGGAAAATGTCTAAATACAATACCAGCTACAGAGGCAACTGCCACTCTTCCCTGGTTTTACATTAACTCCTAGCAAACAGGCCCAGGGCTCATCTCCCAACAACAGAAACTCCTTCCCCATACTTGTACTAGCCTTCAAAGCAAATGACCTTCAGAAGTCATCTCAAATACCCTTCAAAAAATTAAGTCTTGTTTATTGAGCTTATATAGTTTTTTTGTTTGTTTTATTATTCATGGGACTTGAACTTGGTCAGGGAACTGTCCCTGAGCTTTTATGCTCAAGGCTAATGCTCTACCTCTTTGAGCCACACTACCACTTCTGGATTTCTGGTGGTTAATTGGAGATAAGAGTTTCACAGACTCGCCGGGCGCAGGTGGCTCACGCCTGTAATCCTAGTTACTCAGGAGGCTGAGATCTGAGGATCACGGTTCAAAGCCAACCCTGGGCAGGAGAGACCGTGACTCCTATCTCCAATAAACCACCAGAAAACCGGAAGTGGCGCTGTAGCTCAAGTGGTAGAGCACTCACCTTGAGCTGAAGAGCTGAGGGACAGCGCCCAGGCCCAGAGTTCAAGCCCCACAACAGACCAAAAAAAAAAGAGTTTCACAGACTCCACCCAGGGTGACTTTGAACCTCCATCCTCAGATCTCAGCCTTCTGAGTAGGATTAAAGGGGTGAGCCACCAGTGCCCAACTAATAATCTTAAAAAACAAATTTAAAAAACTAACATCAAACATCATTAGGGAAAAATTATACAAATAAACAAAAGGAAGAAAAAAGTTGACAGAAATCCATTGTGACATTTTGGTTATCCATTTACCTGTTTGTGAAGAAATTCCTTGCCTCTAGCTTTTCTGGTCATAAATATGGGATTATGCTGTCTGTTTTTCAGGTAATAAAATATCAAGTCTATTCTAACGTCAGTGCTTCAGTCATTTACTTTCTTCAAAGCTGCCTTCCTAGCCCTTCTCTCCCCTGCACCGCACCTCTTTCAAGTGTGTATCAAGTCTATTGGTAAATCTGTGAGGGCAGTGGGGGGAGAGGGTGTGTGTGTGGCCATCCCTCATTATTCCCTGCCTAATTGCCTCATTACTATTTACAGTTAGTCTTTGTGTGATGAAGAGAGGCAATGAGGCGAGGTGCTGGTGGCTCAAGCTTGTAATCCTAACTCCTCAGGAGGCTGAGATCTGAGGATTGTAGTTCTAAACCAGTTTGGGGCAGGAAAATTCTCATGAGACTTTAATCAGTCAACAAAAGAAAAGCTGGAAGTAGAGCTGTGGCTCTAGTGGTATAGCACTAACTTTGAGCAAAACAGCTCAGGGAATGTGCCAAAACCCTGAGATTAAGCCTCAGGATTGACATACGCGCACGTGTGTGTGTGTGTGGGGTGTGTGTGTGTGTGTGTGTGTGTGTGTGTGTGTGTGTGTGTGTGTGTCTGTGTGTGATGGAGCTAAAAAGGCATTAGTTGAATATAGTTATCTAAAGTTGGTGCCCTCTGAGTGTCCGCAGTGTCAAATACCAACTACTTTCCTCTGTGAAGGTTGCTTGATTATTCTCCCATTGGGAATTTGGGCTTAAGATATTGATTGAGCCATGACTCCTTTGGCTAATGGCTTTGCCTTTCCCAGATCTTGGCATCTACAATTGCCTATTAGTCAACTTGCTTCTCCAGACCAGTATCTTGTACAAGTCTAGCTTGTTTCTTCTTCCACCAAGGTCAGCTCTCAGATCTGGCTCCTGCATTCCTCTAATCTTAGTTATCCTTTTCTTATCCTAGTCCATTGTCCCTCAAAATGTCCCTAAGCCAGCATGCTGTCTCAATTTTGTTCTGGCATCTCTGGGAAGATTGCCTACTCACCAATCTATGCCCATCCCAATTTTCCTGTGGCTGGCTCCTTCGTTCTGTACTGAGCCTCAAGGCTGCCTCTTTCAGGTGCTTTTTCTGCTCATCCATCCCAAGGTATCATCACATTCTTCACATCACATTCTAATTCTCTGCCTAACACCTCTATCTGGTATTTTCCTGATTTCTATAACTGGTCTACCTAATTGAGGACTCTTAAATAGAATTGCCTATTAACACGTTTTTAGTTATTTTTCCAAAATGCTACTTCTATTCCTTGTTCCTCTGGTTAGAAACCTTCCCTTAACCATATAATACATCCATAATATCCTACCACCCCTGTTTTAAATGCCTTTTCTGATATTAATTCAACTCTATGAACAAAAAGTCTCATAATTGATTCAAAATTCATCATGGGCTAAGTTTGTTCTCTGGATCAGGATCCTGCAGGAACTCATGTCCTCAAGCCCTGCTTTTGTGTCCTGCCATGCCCTTTTGGGGAGAGGAAGTAAGGGATAGGTTAGAAACTGTATAAGCATCCTCATGTTGCTGGTAAGATGGGCTACTGTTCCTTTTTTTTTTTCTTTCTACTGTTCCTTTTGATTCCATTGTATCTCTGCTTAACACTGACTAGCATGATGTCCAAGAGTAGGACAAGACTCCAAAGGATATTTCTTTCCTGGAGATCATCTTTAGGACCTTATGTAGCTTTTTTAAGGATTTGTTTATGATTATCTACAGCTTTTGCCATACTTGGATAATTGATCATCTGCAAAGGACATACCACAGCTCAGTGTGCACTTGTCATTGACCCTCTATGCAGGGTCGTGGGAACATCAGGGCTGCAGGGCTGCGAAGGTTGGTTCATGTGAGCCATCAATGGTTAGCTAATCCCTAGGGAGGATGGAAAGAGGATAGAATAATCATTCCCCTCTGTTACTCCATTAGTGTCTCCTTGGTAGGGGATGGCCCTCTGTTGAAGTCATTCTTTCACTCAAAATGGAACTCTCTTCTCTTCCTTCTGAATTGGGGAGGGGGGGGTGGGGAGGGAGGAAGGGCTCTCTTCTTGTGAACACCACACTCTTCCCTTCACACTTTTTAGTTATAACTCTTCATTGGCTCTTCCTCAAATTATCCTGATTTGAGTGTGTCATGTCTTTCTTGGGTATTAAATGCTAAGGTCAGAATCATAGTAT